GAGGGTAGTGAGTCAGCTAGTGAGACACAATGTACAGAGACTAACAATGGTTGGTTCACGCATTTACTAATTCGCTTTATCTTCTTTTTGCCGGCAGTCTTTCATAACACTGTCACTAGAAGATGCAGCACAGAGAGTTGACCTGTCTGACTCTAATGAAATGGAGAAAATGCTAAGAGACATGGTAAGACAAAAACCACATCACAAATACTTAATGCAAGTACACACCTCCATGTACTAATAGTATTGATAATCTTCACATACACATGCTAATGCAAAATTATTTGCTTTCTTTTTTATCTTTCCCTTTTATTCTCTTCCCCTCCCTCCTTCTCTCTCTCTTCATTAGATAGAAGATGGCGATATAAATGCTTGCATCAATCAAAAGGAAGAGATGATTGTGTTCAGTGATGACTTTGTGGATGATAATTGTGCTCAGACGCTGGAGGCTAGACTCAAGGAGTGCATGAGCCTCCAACAAGAAATGAGCAAAGCCAATGATCAGTTATCACTAAACCCGCGCTACATACAAAAAGTAAATAATATTTAATATTAAAACTACCAGTAAGGCAATTTAAGTTTTCGTGTTTTTATTGTACACATACGTCAACCCTAATTATACATCAAAAAAGTAATATTAAAATGATGCTGGTAGGTTATTGCCTAGCATTTGTACCTTAAGTGTTCTAAATATTCATCTAAAAAATAATTTTATTAAAAAATTAGAGTGGTACTTCCAGAGGTGGTGGTGGAATGGATGACGATCCTTTTGCAGACGACCAATTAATGTAGACACTCCGTATCCATGGTAACCTTTGGAGCGTTACCACGGTAACACAATGACTGAGTCTAATCCAGTGATATCACTGATTGTGTTGTAGTCCCTTTTATTTACACACGCAGGGGGTTAACCCCGATTAATTATTATTATTATTATTATTATTATTATTATTATCATTGATATTAACGAGTTGTGTTGTACGTGTTACATTTCTTCTATTAATAATTCCTTGTAATATAATAATGAATTAATAATTATTGTGTGAAATGAGCTGATGGACTGATTCCAATTTGAGAAGCAAGTAAGTTTAGGAGCATTAGTCAATAAGGACTTTGCCCAAATTTTAAACATAATATAGTAATTATGTCTTTATTAACAAGACATCAAAATAAACAACAATTTAACTGATAAATAACAACAAAAATGGACAATAATTTATTTAACAATGCATCATATATACATTATACATCAAATCACAATAGATTGTAATGAATCATGTCATTTATTGCATTATGAGAAGAGGAGGGATTGACTGCCACCAAAATAATAAGATGAGATAGAGTAGATACCTAATGCCACACAACCTGCTGCTCCAGCAACACCCATAGCTCTTAGACCAGCTGAAGAGAGGGAGAGAGGAGTGG